ATATTGATTGATTGCTCCAAGGGGAAATATAGGATTGTGTTCCTACAAGTCTGATAACATTTTCATCAAACAATCAAATATAACCTTGTTTTATGTGTGTTTATTTTCAAAGACACCTTTTTAAATATATCTATTATTGATTTATTAACACTGAACTCAAAGCTAATGGCAATCTGACTCATGCCTAAAGGAAGCTTACCAGAGATACATGTTTTCTCTGTTAGTCACATCACAGCCTTCTTGCACTTAGAAAACACTAGATAGCTCTTTAGCACTATGCTTTGTCACCAATTTAAACAAGCACTAACAAGCACAAAAATCAAAACATGCAGTGCTAAATAGACCATGAAAAGGACAACTGTTTACATCATGGGAGCTGAAACAAGAAAGCAGGGCATCACCTTGTTCAACCTCAACTGGGAATATGTCCACAAATGACCATAAAAGTGCAGTGAGTGTTGATTTGGGGACCACAAACAAATTTTAGCAAGTAGGCAAATTCACAAATGAACTATTGTGGAGTAGGAACTGAAGAGCAGAGAAGGATATGTAGGGTATCCAAACTGATGGTTCTGAGATAGACTCACAAAGTTTACCTGCTCCCAGTATGCAGGTAGTAATGCTTTCCCATGCATGTTATAGGGGCTCAGAAGTAGCTAACCTAGAGTCAGTGAAGGCATGCCCTGCAGGTGAATAAAGAAGAATGCAACAATGTATTATATGATTAATGGTCATACGCCGGACAGGACTGAGGACACCCCAGTGGATACCTCAGTCCACATATAGCAGAAAAAGACCAGATCCTCCTGCCTTCACATTCTCACCCCACCCATGCTCCCACACCAAGGCCCTCTATAAGCTTGCTGGAAATTGGATGCAGCCCTCAAAAGAGGGAGATTCTCAATGGACTGAAATTGTACTCAATGTACTAATAAACCCATAAATTGACTCAGATTTAGTTTCTGCTTACAATAGAAATAATCCTAAATATTTAAGCATCTTGTGCTCTTACTGAAGAAGGATCATTTTAGGATTTAACACATATTTATTGCTATATCTATAATGTGAAAAACATCATGTCAGCATGTTATATCCTGGGTGGACACTAAGACAATCACAGCAAATAAATATGAGATAACCTGTAATATGCATGAGATGCCTCGGCACAGGCAAGGATTATAGAAATTGAAAGGAGAAAAATTCTACTTTGAATGTTAATGCATGGGGAAACCACAGAGGAGGAGGGATAATTTGACTAGGTCATAAAGTACGAGAATGAATGGTCTGTATAAGTAAGGAGGTATTTTATATGGGGAGAATTCGTGAGTAGGTTGAACAGTTAGAAATCCCCAAAGCATGTCTGGAGGGAAATAAGTAGATTGGTTAAAGTAAAGTCAAATGATAAAAAAGAATAGCAAGAGAATGCAATATGATAGACTTAACAAAAGAATCTATTGAACTTGGTGAACGACCAGCTATGAGGCAAAAGCAGAAAAAGCATAATAGATGAAACAAATTTTGAGGCTGGGGACCAAGAATTGTGGTTTCAGTGACAGAAGCAGGGAAACTAGAGCAGAACTAGTTTGAGGCAAAATAAACGATGAGTTTGAGGTGACAACGTGACATCCTAGGGGAACTGACAAGCAAACTGCTGAAGTTATAAAGTGAGATTTTAGAGGAGAAGCAGAATTGGAAATGTATACTTGAGAATTATCAGTACTAAGATGAATCATGGTAGCCTGTGAGTGGGTGATTATCTGAGGTGAGGCAATTAGAAAGAAGAGGTGGAGGAGGAAAAGTGTCCACAGAGAAAACAAAGAAGGAGCAGCCAGGGAGTGGAAACATCCCTGTTACCCCAAGAGCATAGCAAAGAGAAAGATTCAAGAGTTTATGATCATCTGTGTCAATTGCTGCATGGAATAAGTTAGACAGAGGACTGAAGAAATTCAGCTGAGTTTGCTGACAAGCAATTCATGCTTGAGAGAGCAATTTTAGTAGAGTGGTTGAGGTGGAAGAGAGAATGCTTTCAAGAATGGGTTCAAGAGTATGTGGAGGGGGAATGGAGATAATGGCTGTTGATAACTTTGAGAGAAAGCAAGTCTTGAAATTACTAGGTTTGCAGCAGCATCAATGAAAAGGATGGAGAAGTGTTTCATTTTTTCTTTCTTTCTTTTTTTTTTTCTTTTGAGGTTTCTGCACACAAAGAAGAGCGGTCCAATGGGGAAAGACCAAATGAAGATTCAAGAGAGTGATGGGAATGGCACTGGGAAGGATTATTGATAATAAGGCCTAACGCTTATATGGTTCTTGATCTGTTCCAGACACTGTTCTTGGTGATTTACACATATTAGGACACCTTCATCTCTTAGTAGTCTAACAAGGTAGATACTATTATCATCCTCATTTTATAGATCAATAAATGGAGGTACAGGGAGGCTAAATGACTTACCCAATATCATCATCTGGAGGAAGTAGGTCAAGAAACGAATGCAAGGGGGGAAAAGGGGACATCTGTAATACTTTCAACAATAAAGATAATTTTTTTTAAAAAAGAAATGAATGTAGACATACATACATCATGCTCTTATCCACTGGGATATATTACTTTTAAAGATTAAAGAGCAATGCCTCCCTTTATGAGACTGGGGGAAAGAGAGGATATCCTGGCTTATTCTAAGATGAAAATGAAAGTACCTGAGCATCATCCTATATGGAAGTGACATCATACGATAGAACTGTATCTTGAAAGTAAGAGAAGAGGGTAGAGTTTAGGGTAAGGATTTAGAACACACAGAGTCTGATGAAGATTTAGAAGAGAGGAGCTCACGCTACAGATTCAACAGAAGAATACAACCTGTTAAACACCTTCTCTAGCCCCAGCTGATGAGGGAGCATCAAAGATGGTTAAGTCAAGTTCAATGTGACTCTCCTGGGGGAATGGTGGGAAGTTAAGAGTTTGGAGATGAGCCTAACAGGAGTGGGGAACCTTTTTTCTGCCAAGGACCATTTGGGTATTTATAACATCATTCGCAGACCATACAAAATTATCAACTTAAAAATTGGCTATGAAAAAAACTCCTGGGTTTACTGAGTTTCGAGTCCCGCCTACAGTTGCCTTGGCAGGGCCAGACCAAATGATACTGCCTGCTGGCTACATGTTCCCCACCCCTGGGCTGCAGGTAAAGCTGTAAAATCAGGTCTGAGAATGACATTAGGGTGTGGAGAAAAGTTAATTTCGATGGCAGATTATGTTTTATAATGGCAGGCAAGAAGCTATTTCAAATATAAAAGATAAGTCTTGGTAACTTAGTATGCTCTTGGCCCAATATTTATAACACAAGGTTGGTAAACATAGATATCAAATTGGGTAATTCATATATTTTAATAGGAAAAATTGAAATATAAGACTAAACAATTAAATCTTCCATCAAGAAATGCTGTCTTACTACATTATTATTATTATTTCAGATATGTTTCTTAATTCAATATTAATAAATCTCAGACTCTGAAAGACAAAATATATTATGAAGATTGTATAGACTGGATATAGTTGTCCAACCTCAAATGGTTTTTCTCATATTATTTTTCACAATCTGACCAGGCACAGGCTAACATATGGATGAAATATTGTCTCGATTCTTGCTGAATAGTTCCAGAAAATATCACCAAAATATAAATTTTAAAAAAAGAGCTACTTAATGCAATCAATACCTATAAAATACAATATAATCCAATCCTAGGTGACAATTTATAAAAAAATAATATGTGATTAGCAGAATTATTAAGTCTATTTAATAGCTAAATGCATTTCATAGATGTTGGCAAACATTAAATCAGGAAGAATTTTAAATAATATAGAATCATTAAAAATAGTATCTTTTCTCTGAAATATTTCTTTGTTCTAGACCAAGTGTAGGAAACAAACAAAGGTCATAAAAATATCATCCTTAACTTTGCCCAAAACATTTCATTTGCAGAGAGTAGATATTCTGAAAGTTTAATTCAGGGTTCATCATTCAGTTGTGATAGATACTATTATATAAAAATGAAAAAATTTTCCTCATATAATTGTGTTCACTTTTTAAATAATTATTTGTGTTTAGACTGAGTTTATGAACATTTTTTTCAAAAAATGATTCAGGGCCCAAGTAATATTGTTCTACTGTATTCTGGTATATATGGCCTTGACTGATTTTTAAGTATAAAAGTATATTTCATACGATATAGAGAATTTGCAAAATAAATACTTTAAACAAGATTTTGAATTAAAAAAAAACACAATTAATTGGAGGTTGATTTTGACAAGTCAGTTTTTTCAGGAAATGTTCAGGGTCTGAGAGTCTGTACTAGCAGGATGCCCTTCCAGTAATGCTCAGAACAGCAAAGGGCACTCACACACATAAACCTGTGTGGTATTGGCTTCTTGCTTCTAATAGAACCTTTATGGTTGTGTTTCAAAGCCAACTATAAATAGTTTTGCTTGTTTTTTAAAATATGCATGCATATTTTTAGGTACTGAACAACTCATTATTGTTTATGTATCCCATTAGTATAAATTATGAGATACTTAGACACATTTTATAGATACCTACTGAAATTCTAAATATTTGCCCATTGACTGCAATTATAAGTGCTTCCTCCTCAAGGCATTGTAATTTAAGGAAGCTTTTTAAAAACATTAAACTAAGACCAGAAGATAAATTAATAATGGCACCTTGTAAGGTGTTGGAAAATTTCTTGGGATTTCCACCCTAGGTTAGAACACGAAACAATAAGGAATGCAAATAAGGAAATGACTTTGAAAGGAAAAATAAATATTTAATAATTGCCCAAGGTTAATTATTATCTTTTTGTAAGGTCATGCATCTTAATACAAATATTTAATATTAATATATAGATAAATATTCTTAATATGTTTCCTCCACACTTAAGTTTTAAAAGTTAAATATAAAGAAGGCTCACAGCACAGAACAGTTCCCATTTCAGCAGGGAATTCTCACCTTATTATATGCATTGTGACTAAACAGGGTGTGGGAATTCTCCTGTTCGTCAGTCAATGAGAAGGACAAATGACTGAAGGGTCCTGGGGTAAGACAGTCGGCATGTGAGAGGGTCTGTGAATGCAGCAGGGACTTAGCAGGAGGAAAGAGTCTAGTCTGATATAAAGGATGGAGAGAAACAGGCTTGTGAGGGACTGTCACATCCTGGGAAGAAGAAAGGCATAAAGAGTATGTTAGTGGACAAAAGTCAAACTCACTTGGAATTAAGTCTAAATATTATAAACGTTATGTCAAAATTTCTTACTAGTAAGAAGAAAACCTCTTCTCATACTCAGGCCCCTCAAAGACACCTGCATTCATCATGTATTTTTTGTTTGTCTGTTTCCTTCAATAATTCAGTCTCCCACCTCCAGCCACTCCTACAGAACTAAACAAATGTCTGCAGTATCTCCTAAAGGTGCCAAGCTTATTATTTTTGGAAGTATTGAGAGGAGAAATGTTTAAGGAAGAAGAGAGCTCATCCCAAAAGGAGTGGATGGGATGAGAAAGTGTTCATTGAAGAGTTAGGTAACAGTGAAAATTAATTTAAGCGTGCTTGTAATTGGGTCTGGGAGAAATTGGGGGGAAAGGAGGGCACTGCAGAGGATATCAATGTGAGATCAGGGGCGAAAGTATTGGGTTCATTCATGGTACAGTAAGCTGTTGAGTTGGGCTGAGTATGAACAAGGGACCGGGGAGAGGTGAGTCTAGAATGAATGAAAGAGGTCTTTAATTCCAGGCAATGTGTTGATATGGAGAGAAAGTGAAGGTGGAACAAACAGACAAGTTCAACTGTAGGGAGGAGAGGTAAGGAGATCTCACTTGAGTGGGTCTTTAACCTGGAAAAGGGATTAATGCCAATGACTATGAGGAAGTAGGAGCTGACAGATGGGGCCATGGATTACGTGAAAGGAGCGAGGAAACCACAAGAGTGGGAAGTCTTGAGACTCTAAATTAAAGTTGCAAAAAGGGTCTCTCTACATAAATATCTATGAAAGAGAAGGGATACTTTTTTGCAGATATACAAGTACCTCTTATGTTTCAAGTTGAATTCATTTTGCCAAAACCATGTATTGTCAAGCCATGGATTGTTTTCTAAAATGTATGCTGAATGTATTTGCTGTATCTGACTTGCCCTACCCCTTGGTTTTTTTAAAACCAACAGATTCAAAATGTACTTTGCAAAGTTGCTTAAACTCTCAGAAAATTTAAATAGGCTTAAAAATTATAATTCTAAGGTGTTTAATTTTGTAGAATTGAGGAGTTTAAACCCTCTGTACCTTGAAATGGTGACTAAATACATTTCATTTTTATTAGTTTCTTGTTTGTGCTTCAAGTGTTTATTTTACATATCAAGCAAATACAAATAATTTCACACATATACATGACAAGCATACACTATTATAAAAAATGATAGCACCCTTTATACAGTAATCTGTATTTTATTTGTTTGTATTTCTTTCCACTTAACAGCTTTGGAATATTTCTATATCAGAGCATGAGAGCTCTGGATTTCCTGCTGAGACACATTACTGAGTTATCTCATTGATTGTAAGTGTCATTCAGTTGATTCTCTTGGAAGCTCCAGGTATATTGCCTAAAATACTAAATCACCTAACATGGTGATAAATTTACCTCCTCTTTGCCAGTTCTTTTACTGTTTATTTCTTTCTTTTGTCTAATTGTGTTGGCTAATACCTCTAATGTTATTAAATAATAGTCATGTTAGTATGCAACATTAATGAAATGCTTGTAGTTTTGCCCATTAAAGACCATTTCTGGATTGAAATATGTTCTAATTTTGTTTTATTTCTCAATCAACTATTCCATTATTCTATCAACAACTAATTACATTTCTTAATCAGTGGGAAAAGTGATTAATATGAAAACTGAGTAGCAAGCACAAGACTAGCTGTGTAAGAAAAAGGCAGTATTGTTGAGGTTAGAAGGTGCCGAGGAAAAGATGGGCTGAAGAGTCTCTGGTTTATATTCTGGCTTCAGCTCTTCTTGGAGGGTGTAAGGGCCCATTCTGAAGATGTCAGGAGGCCAGGTTGTAGTGATCCATGGGAAGCAGGGTTTCCTACATGAGGAAATGATGGGGTCAAGGTTGAACCAATTAGGAGGAAACCGTGCGGCCAGTTGTGCTGGTGTTTTATGCTTCCAAGCTTGCTGGGGCCAACCTCCATCTCTCAGGAGTCAGTTCAAACCTGAACATGTCTGCAGGAAGGGTCAGATGGTGTCAGCTACTCCAGGCAGCTGGGCAGGAAGGAGAGCAGACTCTTATTCACAGATGGAAAAGCCAAGGAGAGCTAAGAATCTTGGCCAGGCTCATTTGAGCTCTGGTTGACACCACAGGACAAAAGTGAAATGATTCTCGGCAGCGCAGCCTCAACATCATACATCACTTGAGGTACCTGTTCCAATCTGTGCTAGCTGTTCTTCTAAACTTTGTAAAAATTCTTATCCTGTGATTTTCTTTATCAACATCCTGGAAATTTTATTTGCCTCATTCTTGTGTTTGGTCTCCTCTTTCCAGTGTCCCATAGCTTTCTTTTTCTTGGTTTCTCTCATATATACTGGGCCCTAAATGAGCTTCCTGGGGACAATGGAGTACTAGGAGCAAATGTTTGACATCTTGCAGGTTAAAGTTTTTCTTTTGCCTTTACTTTTAATTTTTTGGATATAAAATTCCAAGCAAAATTACTTCCTTCAGAATTTTGAAAGTATTGTGACACTCGAACAGTGTAACTACACTGTTACTATTTTATTCATTTGTTTTTAAAAAAAATTTATATTTATGATTTCTAAAGTGTTTCTGTTTTCTAGTTATCTCTTGTCAATTCTAATAAGTTCCTTTGTTTTGCTTTTCTTATGCAAAAAAAAATTATTGTTCTTAAAATTTCCATGTTGAATATTTAATTGATTTACTTTTATCCTCTTATTTATTAAGCATACTTAAAAGTTACAAATTTTCTTTCAAGAACTATTTTAAATGTATCCCATAAGTCCTAACAGATAATAATTACCTTTTATTTTTGAGGTAGAAATTTATCTTAAATTTCCTCTTTAATCAAATAGTTTGATCTACTTTAGATGATTATTTTTCCACATATCTATCATAAATTGAAAAATGACTTAAAGTATTTTATCACTAATATATTTCACTTGCCTTGTATGTGCTGATGTTAAAATACTCTAACAGTTATATTTTCCCTGTAAAGTTAACCCTTTAGCATATAAGGGGGTCTGATTTGTCTTGCTTAAGAAATTTTGGGCCTGAATTCAACCTGCCCATGATGATTATAATCTCACCTTTCCTCTTGTTTGTAGTGCCTGGAACACTTTGTCTCCTTCGACTGCTGCTCCCAATCACTTCGTTTAATAGTCTCAACTTAAAGATTGATTTTGTTTGTTATCCACTCTGGGAGATTTTTTTGTTTCTTTATTTTTCTTGTCTTTATCTCCATAGTAACTAAATCTTTCCTGAACCAGATGTTTTCGCAAGAGGTTCCTATGTGAAAGGGCCCACTACTGGGATTGCCTTTGTGTTTCAAAGATGCAGGCTTTGGGTTGTGAGTTTATTTCAACTTTATTTTTCCTCAAATAATGAGACTCTGTTACACAGCACTTTACATGGCAGCCACAGAGAAAGAGAAAGCCTCCTGTAAATGAGATTGCTGAGTGATTCAATGTATATGCCCCTCTCCCCTGCTTCCCAGAGCAAAATCGGGTCAGGGGTCTCTGCTGCCAGCACGTGCACACATGCGAAGACAAGGGACTTGGGGTGTCCGCGTGAAGGTGCTTCCACAGCACTCTGCAGGCGCTGCGCCTCCCTCCACTTGCCCCCGAAGGCACACCCGCCCATTCTCCTCACCGGCTCTACCAGTCCTTTGGCTGTCACCCAGCTGTTTGTTCGCATTTTAATAGGAGTTTGTGGTTTTGTTTCGCTTCTTTTTTGCTTTTGAGTGTCAAGATGATAAAATGTAGTTCATTGCTGATGTCACACTCGTCATATCCCAACCAGAAACCTCATTTGTATTTTTGAAAAACAAATATTCAAAATGCATTTTGAAGTTTGTCACTTTTTAAAACACTTAGCCATGAGGTAAATTCAGAACCTCTGAATGATCCAAAAGTTTTCTTGTTCCTTCTCAATCTCATTATTATAAAGGCATATATATATCATTTATGTATATGATATATATACAGTATATATGTATAGAATATGTATCATATATAGTAAAGATCTATATAAAGAGATATGTCTTTATTCCTCTGTATATCCCTATATATAAGAATCTTTACTATATATATAATTATATATAAATGTCTACATTTATTTTTCATCATAGGTTATCTGTGGATATTAATATAACTGCATCTTGATTTCAGTCTTCATAAATATATATACATATACATATATATGTGTATATATATACACACACATATATATATATATGTTCCATTGTTGATTTTAGCTTCACAGTTTTTTGGTGTGTTTTTTTTTTTAATTAATATCTTTTATTTATTTACAACCTGTTGTACCTATATAATTATGCAATGCAGTTATTTATATTTTATAAAATTTAGATATTATAAATAACATTTTTTCCACTTCATTTTCAAAATTTTTTAATACTTTTTTTATATGCAAAGGGGTTTATTTTTTTTTCAATTTANTATAATTATGGAATGCAGTTATTTATATTTTATAAAATTTAGATATTATAAATAACATTTTTTCCACTTCATTTTCAAAATTTTTTAATACTTTTTTTATATGCAAAGGGGTTTATTTTTTTTTCAATTTATCTTTATTGTTGAAAACTTGACAGTTTTCCTATAGGACAGTGATTTATTAAAGCAGTCACTTTCTTTAAAGAATAAATTTTCTCTTAGTTTTCCTTTAAGCCCCTATAATGTCACATTTCATATATTTCATATTTAGAACACAGAGGCTATCAACTGAGAATATTTAGAAATCTATACTTTGATCCTACTGCATGATGAATCTGCAATATATTGTAACTTTCTCATTAATTATTGTTTCAAATCTTCAAAAGTGTTTTCTATGATTTTTCTAGAAGTATTTGATACAAAGAAACAACTTTTAGTTCACCATTCTATTGTTTTCTTATGTACTATTTTACAGTATTTACTGCAGC